GAGGAACAGGCTCACTGATTTGGGATTATTTGCTGAGGCTTAAAAGTAAATAAATTATCCAACCCTCCCTGCAACCCAAATTAAGTAATTCATCTGTAGCAAGCAGCAAAATGTACACTTGGAAGTCTATCACGTGATACCCACATTCTTTTGGTGGCCCAGTAATAGTTTACCTTGGGATCCTAATTCACACTTGACCTAAATCTCATTGTGAACCAGGAACCAAGATGTCCAATTTAAAACATTCTTTTTTGAGGGGCCACAAGTGGCACATTTGTTAACAAGACATGAATTTAGAAATAATTCTTCAGAGGTATAAGATTGAAAAGGTGTAATTTATAAAGTGTCATTTAGTACGTTCAAAACAAGCTTCCACTTTGAGAGAGAGAGAAGGAAACCCAGTTCTGTTTAGCATCTTTGCTAGAAGCCTGGCCTCGTGTTTGCACACACCCACTCCCACACCCACACACCCTCCTTCCATTGCCCTCTCCCTACCAATTCTGTGACAAAGGTCAAGCTTTTGAACATGGTCACCATGTAATAAAGTCTGGATTGGGCCCGGCGCGATGGCTCACGCCTATAATCCCAGCACTTTGGGAGGCCGAGGTGGGTGGATCACAAGGTCAAGAGATTGAGACCATCCTGGTCAACATGGTGAAACCGCATCTCTACTAAAAATACAAAAAAATGAGCTGGGCACGGTGGCTCGTGCCTGTAATCCCACCTACTCAGGAAGCTGAGGCAGAAGAATTGCCTGAACCCAGGAGGCGGAGGTTGCAGTGAGCCGAGATCACGCCATTGCACTCCAGCCTGGGTAACAAGAGCGAAACTCTGTCTCAAAAAAAAAAAAAAAAAAAAAATTCTGGACTATTTCACCCAATGCCAAGGTTGCCTTGGTGGCTACCCATCACCCCTCCAATGTTTCTGGGGGTGTAAGCACAGCCTGACCCTGGACTGCCTGTGGGGGTGGCGCTGGGAGGGTCTTACTACAAATAGCGATTACTGTCCTTTCCTCAGAACGACTAAAGCAGAATCTCTTGGGGATGGATCAGAAATCTTGTTTTGTGTTTTTCTGTTGCTGTTATTGTTGAGACAGAGTCTTGCTCTGTCACCTAGGCTGGAGTGCAGTGGTGTGATCATAGCTTACTGCAGCTTCAAGTTCCTGGGCACAAGCAATCTTCTCACCTCAGCCTCCTGAGTAGCTGGGACTATAGGTGTGCACCACCATGCTCGGCTAATTTTAAAAATTCAAAATTTTTTTTTGCAAATATGTGATCTCACTGTATTGCTCAGGCTGATCTTGAACTCCTGGCCTCAAGCAATCCTCTTGCCTCGGCCTCCAAAGTGCTGGGATTACAGGTGTGAGCCACCACACCTGGCTAGGAATCCTGTTTTTTTTTTTTTTTTTTTTTTTTAACAAGATCCCCAAGTAATTCTTCTGCACAATAATGTTTGATACCCACTTACAGAACATTGCAAATAAATTGGTTTGTAAAGGAACTGGACCCAAGGCCTTAACTTCAGGCTCATATTTATCTCAGCAACTGGGCTATAGACAGAGTGGGAGGTGGTAAGAACTAAGAAACTTCTGTGGTTCTTAGCCACACCCTTGGCTGGGATCTCTACCACCATCCTCCTGGCCTAGTGACAGAAACAAAAAGTGATTAAATGGGAAGCAACAGAATAGGAGAGAGAAAAATCTAAGTAACAAATGCTAGACTGCTGACATTGGAACGGTTTCTAACTCTCCTCAGTGACCCAAAGACATCCAAGCCATCATTACTTGTAGAGCAATTGTGGTCTGGGTCACCAGCAGTATGGACACATATATACTTTCATGTGGGTGCTGACTTATGTATGTCAAAGGAACTTCATGTAAAATGAAGCAGAATAAAAAGTAACGGTGGGATTCCTCTTCAAATGAATATGCCTTATTAATGTGTAGGTGGACAGTCATTGCCAATGAATATCCATATACTGGGGACATAGCTCAAAATGTTTTACTGGTAAGGATGCATAGTGAAAAGTATTCAGGACCTTGCCAATTTGAAAGATAAAAAAATTTATTTCAATATGGTGCTAATACATGGTCACATATGACCAATCTTAGAAGATGAGGCTCAGTCTGAAGGAATGTTTTAATAGAAGATGAGGCTTAGTCTGAAGGAATCCATCTTTGGTGGTGAATTTGGGCCTCTCTGGTTGGCAGGTAGATGAGCTGTGAGGCAGAGAAGCTTTTACCTGCAGAATTATATCCAGTAAGAAACTTCTAGTAGTTCTTAACCACACCTTTAGCTGTGATCAGGAATTCCAGGCAGTTCTGATTTTTCAGCGGTCACCTATCACCTTTCCTTTGCCAGTGGGATTCAAAACGCAGTCAAGTCAGATACTGGTAGGTTCTGCCTGTAGTGTGAGGACAAGTTTATTATAGAATGAATTATTGGAGAATGAATCCAGTTCATTATAGAATGCGCACTTTCACGTACACTTAGAGGACGCTATTACATTTAGGTTAACTTCCTTTGTCAAACATTTTCAGACAAGTTTACTCCTCTGTATATTTTGTGTAACTTTATAAATCACATAAGGAATAGAGCACATGACTTGTATTAACTAAAAATACATACACACACACACAGGATAAACTCCAACACAGCAGAACATGCCTGTGACATTCACCTGCTTAAACCTCCACAGAAGGATTTTCTGAGTAAATGGAAATAATGTTGTTCTCAAGTGCATGAACGCTAAACCCAGCAAAGTAGGGTTATTTTTCTACACTGATATGTAGGGTTTTTTTACATATATATATTGGAGACAGAGTTTCGCTCTTGTTGTCCAGGCTGGAGTGCAATGACATGATCTTGGCTCACTGCAACCTCCGCCTCTCGAGTTCCAGCAATTGTCTTGCCACAGCCTCCCAAGTAGCTAGGATTACAGGTGCCCCCCAACACACCTGGCTAAATTTTTGTATTCTTTTTAGTAGAGACGGGATTTTGCTATGTCAGCCAGGCTTGTCTGGAACTCCTGGCCTCAAGTGATCTGCTCACCTCAACCTCCTAAAGTGCTGGGATTATAGGTGTGAGCCCCTGAGCCCGGCTCATATTTTTTATTATTTTATTTATTGAGACAGAGTCTTGCTCTGTAGCCCAGGCTGGAGTGCAATGGTGTGATATCAGCTCACCGCAACTTTCACCTCTTGGGTTCAAGCGATTCTCCTGTCTCAGCCTCCTGAGTCACTGGGATTACAGGTGTTATCCACCATACCTGGCTAATTTTTGTATTTGTGGTAGACGGGGTTTCACCATGTTGGCCAGGCTGGTCTTGATCTCCTGACCTCGTGATCCACCCACCTCAGCCTCCCAAAGTGCTGGGATTACAGGCATGAGCCACTATGCCTGGCCCAGCCCATATTTTTATTGAGGTTTTACATGGACTACTTCCCCTGTAAGGGTCAACTCTGAGGTCTCACCAATCCAATAATTTTTAGAAAACATTTGTTAGTATTTTGCTTGAGAAGGAAAGTTCAGTTATTTACCTATCTCTGCATTTCTTTTTGAATCTACACTGTAGCTGGTACATGTCTATTTCATGCTTCTAAAAATACCAGATGTATCTTGAAAAGGGATCCAGTTTAGGGTGACCAAATGTCTCAGTTTGCCCAGAACAGTTCCGGTCTTAGTACTAAAACTCTCACATTCCAAGGAATTCCAAGGAACCTCTCCATCCTGGGTAAACCAGGATGGCTGAAGTAGCCACTAGCCTCACGGGGCTGTTTAAGTCTCAAAAATTCAAAATAGAATAAAGTTTAAAATTTAGTTTCTCTGTTGCATTAGCCACATTTCAAAGGCTCTGTGACTGTATATGAGTACCCATGGGACAACGCAGAGATAGAAATTTCCATTATGGCAGACAGTTCTATTGGATAGTGCTGAGCTAGAAGGGTATTTCCTGTAATCGCCTAGAATGAACATCCTTTAAAACAGGGCCCTAGTCAAGTGGTAAGCAACCTCATGTGATATGTTTGCCACCTCAGTGAATGCACACAGTGTGCTTGGTCAGCAAAGCCGCAGTGAAAACTTTTGTTTTTTAGAGTTTGCATATCCTGATGCATCAGGCTTCTGGGACTATGTCCTCATCTTCTTAGAGCCCAGGAATTTATAAACAGTTGCTGGCATTTAGTGGAAATGCGGACATGGCATGAGAAACATTTAACATGACAGCAAGAAAAGATAATCTGGCTCTTTTAAATTGGGCATGAGGCATGAGGGTCACACTAATTTTGTTCCCATTTATAGATTTTTTTTTTTTCCTTGACATGCAGCGCAGCAGAGAGAATAGCTGGGTCAAACTGAGTGGGAGCTAAAGGAGCGCAGGCACAAGGAAAACCACCTTTGGAATGAGCAGCTTTTAAGTCCATTGCATCCCTACCCCAAACAATGGACTGTAAAGTTGGATGGGAGCTACAAAGTGGTCAGAGTCATGGGGAGGTGTTTGAGGGCATCTCTCCTCCTCCAGGGCAAAGGCAGACTGGAAACAGAGACAGAGACAAACTGCTGGTGTGTTTAAAGATACAGTGCTGAAGAATCTAATTGTGAGCATGGGGGTTTATCTGTTTCATAACATGTTATTGAACACCTACTTCAGTTCTCACTCATCAGTCATTCAGTCTAGTGGGGACTCTAACATTGTTTACTGATTTTAAAAATATAAGATTTAATGTAAGAAATGATGATTTATGAAAATGGCAATGATGATGATGACAATGATGGTGATGGTGGTGGTGATGATAAGTAACATTTATTGGGAGCTTTCCAGGTGTCAAGCTCTATTCTAAGTGCTTTACACAAAGGAGTACAAGACAATACTTTGGGAATGTAGGTGTTAGAAGGATGGTCAGGTAAAAGTATAGCCTTCTATTTTCCAAGATTTCTCAGAAATGTAGTATATAAACAATGCAAAGTCCGTTTATAAGTAATTTAGAGAAATAGCATAGTAGGCCCATTTCGGCAATTAATTTTATTTTTTTAAATGACCTTTTTATTTTGGAATAATTTTAGATTTATGGAACAGTTGCAAAGATAGTATGGAGAGTCCCCGTATGATAATGGATTTTTGAGTCAGACGGCCATGGCCTCACTTCCCAGTTCTGCTCTTCATCCACTGTGTGCCCTTGGACCAATTATTTAAACATTCACATCCTCAGATGTGGCTTCCTTGACTGTAATATGGCACAATAACGGTTGCTTTAGAGGGCTGTAGGAAAGAAAAAATGAGAGATTGTGTGTAAAGTGCCTGCACGTGCTTAAGCCGCTGACATGCCTAATAAACGTTAGTACTTATTTTTTATTTTTTGAGATGGAGTCTTGCTCTGTGGCCCGACTGGAGTGCAGTGGTGCAATCTTGGCTCACTGCAACCTCCGCCTCCTGGGTTCAAGTGAATCTCCTGCCTCAGCCTTTCAAGTAGCTGGGATTACAGGTGTACGCCACCATACCCAGCTAATTTTTATATTTTTAGTAGAGACAGGGTTTCACCATGTTGGTCAGTATGGCCTCCATCTCTTGACCTTGTGATCTGCCTGCCTTGGCCTCCCAAAGTGTTGGGATTACAGGCGTGAGCCACCGCGCCCGGCCAGTACTTATTTTTATTTACATAGATGGTATATTTTTAATTAAAAAATATAGAAAATAATATTACAATAATTTTAAATTGGCCGATGTCTATTTATTACACACACATTCCTCTTCTTGCCACCACCCTGCCTCAAAGAGAGAAGTAATGATAATTCACCAACTTGCAACTTTAGGTCAACTGCAGTTGCTCTTTTCAATTCCTAAGAAATTGCAGGGACCAGTGGGAAATTCTGAGTTGTTACAGTCTTAATGGAAAGCCCCAGGTCAAGAGTGAAGACTTTTCTTCGGTTTAAAAGCTAATGTTGGCCTTAAGACAACTGTGAAATACGTTTGGAAATTGTTCCCACCAAATGTTTTCTGGAAAGAATTCCGGCTGCTAGCAATTGAAAGCCTAGTGCTAGATTTAGCACCTCGGCCATGCTGAAGAAACACTGCGAGAGTTGTTCCGGCAAACACATTTTCTAGCAATGGGGTACTTGTTGGCATTCTGGCCAGGTTGTGGCTGTAAAAACAGACGTTCTCCAAGTGTTTTCGATCCTGAAACCTAATGCTTACTGAGCACTGAAGACCTCAGAGGCTCTGTCCTTAGCACTCCACAAGCATTGTCTCCTCCAATCCACACAGCAATGCTATAAATTGGGTATTATTATCATCATCCCCATTTCACAGTTGAGGAAACTGAGACACAGAATTTCATAAACATGCCCACAGCCACACAGGTGGGAAGTAGTAAAGCCAGGATTTGAGGTAGGTACCTTAGGACTTAAGACTCACACTCCTGGCCACCACGTGAAAATCTTTTGGCTTGATTAACTCTGGAGTTCATACTTCTTCAGAAGCCAGGCTTTCATTGCAGGCCAGCAGCCTCATGAAAATAACAAAAAGCGCCTGGGCACAGTGGCTCACGCCTGTAATCCCAGCATGTTGGGAGGCTGAGGCGGGCAGATCATGAAGTCAGGAGTTCCAGACCAGCCTGGCCAGCATAGTGAAACCCCATCTCTACTAAAAGTACAAGAAATTAGCTGGGTGTGGTGGTGGGCACCTGTAATCCCAGCTACTTGGGAGGCTGAGACAGGAGAATCGCTTGAACCTGGGAGACAGAGGTTGCAGTGAGCCAAGATCACGCCACTGTACTCCAGCCCGGGCAACAGTGCGAGACTCTGTCAAAAAGAAAGAAAAAGAAAGTGATTTGAGAGCCCCTCAAGTCAACTGGTAGCTGCCGGACATTTCCAAAGGCGTCCTCTCCTCTCATGCGTGGCATCCTAGGGATGGCATCACTAGTGGGAGATAACAGACCCTTGAACAGCAACAGAGCCCAGGCTGCAGGTCAGACTCTTCTACTTGGCCACGTAGCCTGGTGGCTTCTGGACTCTGTGACCTCTTTTTGCTCTTGATCTAGTGCTCACTTTGAAAGTGACAGCCGGATGGATGAAAACAGAGATTGTTACAGTTGCTCCATTCTAGGGCCAAGGACTACATAAAAACTGATGTGGTGGGGAGGGTATTGCTAAGCAATGAGTCCCTGAAATGAGGTTACTGGATGCAGTGCAGTCATTATTGCTTTCCAGAACAGGAAAAAAAAGTTACCACCCCAGCACTTCAAGCAAGTTCATTGAGAAAGCAGCCTCATGGTTTGAGGACAGCCTTGAAGATAAATGGCTACATTCCATCTACAACCTAGGTAGGCCTTTTCCAAATCATTTTGACATCACTCCCTCTGAATCTTAGAAGGCAAACACAGGAGGTGAAAGGGCAAAACATAGTGGAAAGAAATTTTGACATAGTTCAAGCCAGAGTATAACAAGGGAACAGGTACTGGAGTCAAGGGTCGGGAGACAGTTGCTCCAACCAGACGATAATCAGCTGTATGTCTGTCCCCAGAGCTCATATCTATAAAACAGTCTTATCCTCAGCAGCCCAGCGTTCTAAGAAATCTTTCTTTGAAAGTAAGAGAGGGAAGCTAATTTTTCTTTTTTGAGAGGGAGTTCACTCTGTCATCTAGGCTGGAGTGCAGTGGTACAATCCCAGCTCACTACAACCTCTGCCTCCCAGGTTGAAGTGATTGTCCTGCCTCAGCCTCCCAAGTTGCTGGGATTACAGGTGCATGCCATTGCACCTGGCTAATTTTTTATATTTTTGGTAGATACAGGGTTTCACCATGTTGGCCAGGTTGGTCTCGAACTCCTGACCCCAAGTGATCCACCTGCTTCGGCCTCCCAAAGTGCTGGGATTACAGGCATGAGCCACTGTGCCCGGCCAAGAAGCTAATTTTATTTTACATTGGTGTGTGATTTATTTTGGGCACTCACAAAACAAACTGGACTCATGCTGAGTAGCCTAAAACACCATGAACATTCTAGAGGAGACTGTTGAAAAATGTTGGGGTCTATGCACCTCAACCAACTAGATAGTGTGAAGCAATCCCAGATGATTTATTAATATGCTATAATGCAGACTTGTTTGGCAAGGAGAAAATGCCAGGAGGCCAATGGGTGTGACCTTCAACTTCAGCCGTTCTGTAAACAAGTGTTCCATGAGGTTTCCTTTTATTTTCATAGTTTGAGTATGGCTTTCTATCCACAGGGCAGTAAATGATTAACTTGTTTACTCATTTACAATTCCTGTTAACCAAATGAGTGTGAGCAACTCTGCAGTGAGCAATCTGGCAGCTTTTTTTTTTTTTTTTTTTTTTCCCAAGATAAGGGGATTTTTTTAAAGCACACCAACCTTTTTCTTGAATTTATGAAACACTGCCCTGTTTCCATGCAGAAAAGCAAAAACTTTTGAAAGATCGTGTGATGTCATTTCAACAATGTAGAAATTGAAAAAAAATCAACTACAAGCAAAAAAGAATGTATCTGATAATGATCTTTGACAGCATGTTTTAAAGCAGAATATAAGTATGTACACATCCATGTGTAATTCTAAAAGGATTTCACTTTGAAATTTGATCCCTGTAATGCCTTAATAAACACCACTTGTTTGTTAAAGGCTAGATTAATCTTTGAGCGGTGTTATACAGGAAATCAAATCCTGCTTTATTATAGAAGCCATTAGTGACATCTCCCGTGAGTGCAAGTGTGGGCAGATATAAAAAGAATCAAATAAAGCCTTTTCCTCTTCCCAGGGAACGGAGTTGGTTCATATAAACACTGGATAAGGTCCTAATGTGCTTCTGTAACGCTTTGGAAGAGTTTCCATCTGCCTTGCCTCATGGGATCATGCCATGTCCCACACTGAGGACACTGAGTTTTCTGGTTTTGAGAGCAGTGCTCCTCAACTGGAGGTGATTTTCTTCCCCAGGAGACTTTTAGTAATGTCTAGAGATATTTTTGGTTATCACACTGGGAGCCCGCATGGTAGATAAACCAAGCAGATCAATCTAGCATTATAATGGCCCAGAAAATTAAATTGTCGTCAGAATCATAGTGCAAAAAAGTCAGGCCAGGATCCATGTAACAAACCTAAGCAGGGTGGCTGACTACTAAAATAAATTTTTTTTTTTTCTGAGACGGAGTTTCGCTCTTGTTACCCAGGCTGGAGTGCAATGGCGCGATCTCGGCTCACTGCAACCTCCGCCTCCTAGATTCAGGCAATTCTCCTCCCTCAGCCTCCTGAGTAGCTGGGATTACAGGCACGCGCCACCGTGCCCAGCTAATTTTTTGTATTTAAGGTAGAGACGGGGTTTCACCATGTTGAGCAGGATGGTCTCGATCTCTTGACCTCGTGATCCACCCGCCTCGGCCTCGTGAATAAAATATTTAAATGAGACTTAGAGTCTCCTAATAGTCAAAATGCAAAATGTCTAGGTTAAAAACAGAACAAATAATAAAGCTGGAAGATTACTCATTGCAGAGTTGTTCACACTCATTTGGTTAAATGGAATTATTCTGGATACAACTGAAAAGTAATAGTTATACCAAGAATTGGGAAAATCACAACTTTAATAAAAACAAGGTAACCACTGTCACAGAGATGAATCAGATACTGGAATTATCTGATAAGATTTTAAGGCAGTTATAAAAATGCCTTAATGAATAATTACAAATTCTTGAAACAAAATTAGAAAATATCAGCAAAGAAATAGAAGCTATTTAAAAAGAACCAATGGAAATTATGGAACTGAAAAATATAATAACAGAAATAAAAACTCATTGGATGAGCTCAATAATAGAGTGGAGATGACAGAGGATAGAATCAAAGAGCTTCAAAATAGATGAATAGAATTTACCCAATCCAAAAAGCAAAGAGAAAATAGCCTGGAAAAAAATAGAACACATCTTCAAGGAGCTGTAGGACAATAACCAAAAGATAAAAAATTCATATCCTTGGAGTCCCAGAAGGAGAGCAGAAAAATAGTGGTATTGAAAGGGTATTTGAAAAAAGAAAGCTAAAACCTCTCCAAATTTGGTAAAAGACATAGACCTCTAGATTTAAGAAGTCGAACAATCTTAAATAGGAAAGCCTGTAGAAATCCATGCCTTGACACACCATTGTTAAACTTCTGAAAACTAAAGATAAAATCTTGAAAGCAGCCAGAGCATCATGACACATTACCACGGGGAACACAAATTCAAGTAATAGCACATTTCTCATCTGAAACCACAGAGGCCACAATAAGT